CCCTGAATGATTTAATTTTAAGTTTTTGACCTAATGCCCCATTACACCTGAATACTCTAGAGTCTGTTCCCTACAAAGACATTCCATGTATAGCCACGATGCGATGATCAAAATCAGAAAATTAAATCAAATATATTACTTCCGTCTAATCGTTTTATTATTTAAGTTTTGTCAATTGCCCCAATAATGGCTTTTATAGCAAAAGAATCCAGTTCAGAATCACAGGTTGCATTTAGTTCTCTGGTCTTTCTAGCCTTCTTCCATGTTGAACATGGTCTGCCATTTCAAACCTTTGCTGCAGTGAGACAGAACTGAGGAAATTACACACTCCCCCAACAGATCCTACACAAATCTGATGGGCAGTGAAGATCAGAGTTGTGGCTGACAGGCCTTCATCTTTCCAAGTCAAAGAGTGGGGAGGCCTTTGGAGACCAGCTTCAGAACCCAGGCTCCACTCTTCTCTAACTATGAAATTGTGGAGAAGGTATCCAGTGGTACTGAGCTTCAGCTCCCTCAATTATAACGTGGGGACAACAAATTTCTCTAGCTAGGGTGATTGAGAGTATTAAATGAGTTATTACGCAGATAGATCACTCTACTATCCATCAATTTGTCTATCAACCATCACTCTATTTATGCTTATATGTACTTTAATTTTCTATTGAAGAGGCAAAATAACCTGGCAACAGTGGCTGCCCCTGAGAAGGGAGAGTTGTACTTCACTGTATTTTCTTTTGTGCATATGTTGCCTAAATATATATAATCTTTATGTATTTTTAAAAATTAGTAGAATGTCAGACAAGTAGTGTCCAGGAAATGTCAGTTTTTCTCTCTTTGTCTTCTAAACTCACTACTCCAAAAGCACAGATTTTTTGTATGGGAATTCTCTAAGATTTTGCAGCAGTCTGCCTTAACTACAGTTCGTAAAACATCTAGACTGAGTGGGTAAAACTAAACATATAAAGGGATGAAAACAAATATCATAAAATTGAATGCCCTCTTTATTTTCACAAGCAAAGGTCTTGAATGAGTCAGATATTTTCTGAAGTGTCCAACTTGGGTATGGTTCTTTCAATTATGCTATATTAATTGAGCACTTACAATCGCCAGACATTGTATTAGGACCGAGAACTACTATGCTTAACTCATTCTTTCATTCAACAGGTACTTCTGCAGCACCTACTGTATGCCCAGCAAGATGGGAGCTGGGGATATAGTGATACACATCATATACAAGTCTCTGCCTTTATGGAGCTTGAATTTTAGTGGACTAACTATATACCTGAATTGTATTAGCCACATTTCTGTGTTTTTCTACTGTGGGGCAGATGGAGATGGTAAAATCCTTGAGACATGGTTCAAATATTCTCTATGCTAGAAATTAGTGCTAAAAAAATGTTACTCACTTATGTCATTTAAGGTTTTCTAATGATGAAAATAAACAGGTGATGTAATAATATATTTTATTTAACTCAATATATCCAACATGGAACCAATATAGAAATAATTAATGAGATATTTTATGGGTTTCTTTTTTGATGATAAGACTTCGAAATTGAGAGGGTAACAGGCAGGAAGGTTAGGGGTCCCCAAGGGGAGGAAATAGACTGCAAGTGTCAGACCCTTTTTTTTCACTCTTTTCAGCGGCAGGAAGAAACAAACTGTAAGTGTCAGATTTTTTTTTTCTTCTCTGTACAAAATTAAAAGGAGGTTTCTTTTAAAATTCTGTGTTGCCATGACGACACCTGGTTCGCCTGAACTTTTCTCAAACCTTGAGCTAGTCAATGCGTTTTTCTTATGGAGATGTTCTCTTAAGCTATGTTAATGAAACTATGTATTTGCTTGGAAATCTGCCTTTCCTCAAGATTCATGTCAATTGTTTTATTATGGCCCAGGATAACTCCCCTTGTGCCAATGCTATCTTAAAATGCATGTTGTGGGTGAAGTGCCTGGTGCAACTTTCTCAGTTTTGAGGCATTTCCTTTCTCTAATTAGCACCTTGCTAATAGCGACTTCATTTTCACATTTCACTTTCACGCACTGGAGAAGGAAATGGCAACCCACTCCAGTTTCTTGCCTGGAGAATCCCAGGGACGGGGCAGCCTGGTGGGCTGCCGTCTATGGGGTTGCACAGAGTTGGACATAGCGGAAGCAACTTAGTAGCAGCAGCAATAGGTATAAAACTCCTTGCTAAAATCCAGCAAGGGGGCACTCTTTCTGTCCCCTTCTGATATCTATGTCAGAAGCTTTCTCTATATCTTTTATACTTTAATAAAACTGTGTTACACAAAAAGCTCTGAGCGATCAAGCCTCGTCACTGGCCCTGAATCAAATTTTTCTCCTTCAGAGGTTAAGACTCCCAGTGTCGTTCACGGCTTATAGCAGCAACCTTTCAAAATCTAGTGTGTATTTTTACATTTACAGCACATCTTGATTTGTAGTCATCATGTTTCAAATACTTAAGAGCTACATGTAGCTACTGACTGCCATATGGGACAGGGCAGTTCTAGATGAACACTTCTAACTGTAGCACACATAGGAATAGTCCAGAGAGAATGGTAAAGTGCAGATTCCTGGGCTTCACCACCAAAGGTAAGGATTGGGGCCTGAGAGTTTGCATTTTCAATAAGATGCTGCCACATACAGACCATATCTTGAATAGTACTTGAATAGTACACATCACACACCTGCCAGTGACTTGGCATACTAACCATACTAATATTTACCTCTTAAAAGCATTTTGCATTAGCTACTGGTGAAATTAAGATTAAAAACCAAAATGAAATATTACTACACACTTATCAGAATGGCCAAAATAAAATATACTGACAACATTAAATGCTAGAGACACCAAATCATTCATAGATTTTTGATGGGAATGCAAAATGATTTGGCAATACTTTTAACACTAAAAATGACTCAAAAGTTTTGGAGAGCATTATCAAGCCATGAAAAGGTATGAAGAGAACTTAAATGTATTTTATAATGTGGAAGAACCCAACCTGAAAGGGTTACATACTATGTGATTCCAACTAGATATTCTGAAAAAGGCAAAACCATGGAGACAGTTTCCTCTTTGAAAAAACCCTGATGCAGGGAAAGATTGAAGCAAAAGGGGAAGAGGGTGGCAGAGGATGAGCTGGTTAGATAGCATCACCAACTCAATAGACATGAATCTGAGCAAACTCTGGGAGACAGTGAAGGACAGAGGAGCCTGGCATGCTGCAGTCCATGGCGGTCGCAAAAAGTCAGATATGACTTAGTGACTAAACAACAATGGAGACAGTAAAAAGATCAGTGGTTGCCAGGGGTGGTGTGGAGGGGTGAATAAACAGAACATGGAGGGTTTTCAAGGCAGTGAAACTATTCTGAATGATACTATAACAGTGGATAAATATCATTATACTTTTACCATTACCCATAGAATGTACAACAGTAGAGCAAACCCTAATGTAAACTATGAACTTTGGTTGATAATGATGTATCAATATACATTATTAATTGTAATGAATGTATCACTCTAGTGGGAGATAAAGATAATGTAGGAGTCTGGGTCTGTTGTTGGTGGCAGGATGCATATGGAAACTCCTGTACTTCCACTTAATTTTTTCATGAACCTTGAACTGCTCTAAAAAATAGAATCTATTTAAAAGGGGAAAACAAAGTTCTGAAGAGTGTTGATGATTGCACAACAGTGTGAACCTATTTAATGCCACTGAGTGTTACACTTAAAAATAATTAACGTGTTAAATGTTATGTATATTTAATCACAATAAAAAATTTAAAAAAGAAAAATGGATTTACCATATGATTTAATTCTTGGGCATTTATCTTAAAGAAACAGAAAGTCATTTAATGTAGAAACGTGTACACAAATATTCATAGCAACTTATTTATAATTGCCCCCAAACTAGAATAGCTTCTCAGGTGGTGCCAATGCAGGAGACATAAGAGATGCAGATTTGATCTCTGGGTTGGGAAGCTTTCTGGAGAAGAAAATAGCAACCCATTCCTATATTCCTGCCTGGAGAATCCCACAGACAGAGAAGTCTGGTGGGCTACAGTCCATGGGGTTGCAAACAGTTGCACACGACTGAAGTGATTTAGCACCAAAGTAGAAACAACTAAAATATCCCTCAGTAGGTGAATGGTTAAACAAAGTAGCACATCTGTACCATGAAATACTATCCAGCAATAAATATATAACCTATTGATAGTTGCAATAATTAGGATGACTCAAAGAAATTATGGTGAATGAAAAAAGCCAATCTCAAAAGCATGCATGCTGCATGATTCTATCCATGTAACGTTTGTGAAGTAGCATAATCCTAGATATGAAGAATGGATTAATGTCTTCCAGGAGTTTGGGAGGAGAAAGAGGGTGGGTGATGAGTGACTGTAAAGGATGAAGGAATCTTGTGACGTTGGTTCACTTATTTGTTGATTATGGTGGTGGTTACATGAAGCTATTAATGCAAATAAGTTGTACAGAACTTCACACACACACATAAATGTGTGCCGATATAACTGCTGAAATCTAAATAAGCTGTATAGGTTGAACCAATGCCAATTTCCTGGCTTTGACATTGTACTCTAGTTATGTAAGCTGTTACCATTGGGAAAAGATGGGTGAAATGTACACAGACACTACCTATACATTTCTTTACACCTTTCTAAGCCTCTATAATTCTTTCAAAATAAAAAGGGTTTTTTAAAAGCACTTTGCATACTCTATCTTACTTGAGCCTCACAAAAACTGTGGGAAGTAAATAGTATGATTATTTGCATTTTATAGAAAAGAAAAACAAGGTACACAGGAAGAGTACATTGCTAAATGCAAGCAAAGCCATACCCTCTCCATAAGCATCAATATATTTATGTAATTACTTATAAGTATGAAAGGATTTAGGGAACCCTACTGTCAGAAATAAAGGTGTTTTTACATAGCAAATTGCAAAGTAAAAATAAAAAAACAAGCCTTCTATCTTTCCACAACTTACGATAGACTTGAAGGTTGTAGGACCTGGTGGTGGTCGTTTTAGAGGTCTCTACATTTATGTCAGCTTTGTAGATCCCTGAGTCTTCAATCCTCAGATTTCTGAGCTCCAGGTTATAGTTCTGACCCGAGACACTTATTCGCTCATGGTAATTTTGGTGGGTTATGGTAACTGTGGGTTCTGCTCCTAAGTTTCCTGGTATTACAAAAGCAACAGATGTTTTGGAATGCCAAGAAATGCTGGTAACTTTCTGTGATGGTTGGATATTTAAGGGAAAAGTAGCTGACTCCCCCAGAATCCCATTCACTGTGAAGATGTCTGTGTTGCTTCCAGATGCTTCCAGACCTGAGAACATAAATAGAAAACCATAAACATTTGAAAAAACCATAACTATTTGACTGTTGCCCCTTTTAGAATTCTCTATTCTCTCCAGGCTTGAATCTCCCTGAGGAGCAGCTGATCCAGGTTGTTGATGCCATCTTTTCCCCTCTTTTTTTGGACTTTACTTTAAATATATTTAACATGCTATGATGGCTAAATTTTCTAAAAGATTCTCATTCAAAACATAATTTTCCCAGTGAATTTTTAAGCAATCCATTTCATTAAAACATATTTATCTAGACACCTAGATTCTAAGATTTAGATGGAATTTGAGAGATTAAGGCCATAAATCTCCATATTTAAACCTCTGAAGTCTAAGATATTAAATATTTTATTTCCCAAGGTCATATTGCCAAGTGATAAAAGAACTGGGGATGAGAGCTTGTGATGGCTGCCACGGTCTTTGCAAAAAAAAGAGTTACATTTATGCCTCTATTCCTAGAGGATATAGGCAGAGAGTGCTTTAGAGGTTCTGGAGTAAATATTCCCCAAGTTAGTGATTTTGAGGGCTCTTTTTGCTCACTGTTATAACCCCAGTCTGTAGATGAGTACCTGACACATAGAAAGTGCTTAGCAAATATTTGTGGGATAATTAATAAATTAAATTCAGTTATGTGTTGTCTAGGCTCTTTTGGAGCAACTTCTGAAGTAAGTAAATTTCGTTTATTCATTCATACTTTTGTGAATGAATGGACATATTTATTCAAGGACATCTTTGTTCTAGATCTCATTGTGAGTATTTATTAATTTGAAAATAATACAAGTACTTGTTGAGCCTCTACTCTTTAAAGCATGATGTGAGGAGACTGGGGTACAATGGTGAGTAAAAATAGACATGGTTCCTGTTCCCTGGAACTTAAATGAAGAGAATAAGTTTGATAAGGTAACTACAAATAGGATAAGTGTTATGGCACTTTGAGAGAGAATAGGAAAGGGACTTGATTCATTCTAGGAATCCAGGAATAATTTTGGGATTGTAGTATTCACTATAAAGCTGAAGGATGAAAATCTAATGTAGAAAAAAGCCAAAAAGTTAATTTTGTTCTCTTCTCCTCCATTACCTTATGAAGATAAACTGATTTAATACATAACTTGTAAAATGAATGGCAATATAATTATAAGGTGTTATTTTCTCCCTTTTCTTCTATTCTTTCATTATTCTGTTATTCTCACTGAGCCATATGGTATGAGAGGGTGTTTTGAGCCAGCATGTATGATATTCAAAACATTTAATAACCAATAGGCAGAAGCAATGATAAGTCAAGAAGAGCTTCAGTCGTAAACACTAACAGGGCCATTCTGATGAGTACTGACTACATATAAGCCCCAAAGAGCAGAACAAAACTTTTCACATAAGTGGGGTCAGCATGACTCTAAAAGTTTATTCAGGGCTTGGCATAGAGAGGATAAGAATAAAGGTCACTGAGAATACAAGTCATTGTGATGTGTCAGAAAAGCAAAGCGATTTCTTAAACTGATGGTGCTGTCTCACTATGACCACCCTTGCACTCTAGCCCAAGTACTTTCTGGACAATCCAGGGACTGCTTACTTTCAGGGACTTCTTTCCTTTCAGAACATCCAAGATATTCCCTCAGAAAGAATATCCCAGGCAAGGACTGGTGACTTAGTTGGGGTGGGCTAAGTACAGATGGAAATGTAACAAGGTCCTGGGGGGAAGAAGGAGACTAAGGACCCTTATCTACAAACATTTATTAGGTGCTAGGGCTTCCCAGGTGGCTCAGTGGTAAAGAATCTGCCTGGATAGGGAAGATGCCCTGGAGAAAGAAATGGCAAGCCACCCCAGTATTCTTGCCTGGGAAATCTCATGGACAGTGGAGCCTGGTGGGCTACAGTCCACCAGGTCGCAAAAGAATGGGGCATGACTAAACAGGTGCCACTCAGGGATTAATAGGACATGGTGGCAGCTCTGAGTAACTCAGAGCCCAGAGAATAAGATGCATGTGCATACGTGTGAACAGTGATACAATATGATGAGTACTAAACAGTAAAAGCAATAGGAACCCAACTATTGGGGGAACAGAAAGAGAGACAGCTTGTCATTGGTGGCAGGAGTCAGAGTTAATGAAAATCCATTCCTTGAAGATTAATTCTCCCCAGATAACCTCTGCCACTGTGTTGATGAGATCTGGTAGTGTCCCAGCCTGAATCTTTGAATGTCCCCGACTGGACATGTGACCTGGGCAGGGTACAGAGACTTGAGCTCAGAAGGACCTGAACTTGATTTAAGGCTGTTGTGTTGTCATGAACTTCTTAATATTACTTGTAAAAGGACCCTATATTTTCATATTCTACTGGGTTCTGCAAAGTGTACAGCTGGCCCTGGTGCCAGATCTCACAAGTTTTTTTCTTTTTTTTAAATATCAAGTCCTTGTGCCTAATTTCCATTTCACTCTTTAGATTCAGGTTCAGTGTGAGAAGATGGAAAAGGTGGGGGTTCCATAGACTCATAATTCTGGTGGGTTTTCTCATCAAACCCCAGGAAATGGTGGGCAGTTTGCTAAGGCTGAGATCTTGGTAGGAGGGCAGATGTGGAGTCACAGGATGGTTGGCGGGTGGTGTTGCTTTTTGAAGTGTATCTTGTCTCCTCTCACGAGTCACTCAGGAAGTGGTGCTGGGGGAGCAAAGGGTAAGGCAATGAGGGTGGCAGATAGCTAAGCTAGAGGAAGTCCTTTTACTATTTTGTTCTGCGGTGCTGTTGGTGAGACTCCTGGGGTTTCTGAGAAAAAAGTGTAGGGCTTGCACAAGCATAATATGACCGTGAACACCCAATGGAGGTCTGAGGCAGCCACAAAACGGCAGCACGTGAAGGAAAGAAGGGAGGATGAAGTCACAGGTGCTATGAGTAGCCAGAGCTGCTACTTCTACATGTGAGCTGGTCAACCTTAATAAAGTCACAAGGCTTTTCTCAGTCTCAGTTTCTTCATCTACAGAATGGAAATAGTAACTGTAAAATTTTCCTACCTAATCAGTGATCAGAAAAATCACATGTGAGTGGAAATTCTTTGTTGACCATCAAGGCAAAACAAATGCTAGTTATTTTTGATTCTCATTCTCATCCTCATCTTAACAATGAGGATATGCCCTTTAGGACTTCCCCAGTCCATCTCTATGATGACCTTGGTAACACCAGACCATACTGAAGAGTGTATGAAGAACCATTATTAAGGGCTAACTCAGGTAAAGCATGGAGGGACAGTTTTCAGTACCACTGCACTCGGTGGCCTTTATTCTTCTCTTAAAGACTTTGGTGTTTTAAGAATCTCCATATCAACCAATGCTAATATTTATTTTTCCAGGTGCTGAGGGGACTCAAACACTATATTAATGTTGGAGGCAACCTTAAGAAAACCCAATTTCAGAGATAATTTGTGGCACAAAAATGTCTTAAGGACTTACTACGAAAAGCCCTATGCAAGTTTATGACCAAGACAAGTTCTCTGTCTTTTTAAAAATTTCACATATGGTTCGGGAAATAAGACACACACACACACACACACACACACACACACACACACACACACTCATAACTCACCTTTGCAATATGAACTGGTAAATGATAAATTCAAATGAATGATAGAGACAGTAATTACAATGGGAATTTGAAGAAGGATAGATCACTTTGATCTGCAGTGGTTAGAGAAAACTTCTTGGAGGAAATAGAATTTGAAGAGGACCTTGAAGAGTGAAAAGAATGTTACTGAATAGAAAGGGGAAGAATTTGTCTCAGGTCTTCACATTCTGAATAAAGGTTTAGAAAGAGAAGAATGTGTGATGTAAGTTGAATAAGTATATATTTGCTTAACAAAGTAGAGAGCAATCAGGCTAGAAATATAAATGAGGTTTAGATTTAGGACAGATCTGAGTTTGAAGTCTACACCACAGGCAGGGGAAGCTATTAAAGTTTTTGAGAACAAAGACTAATAATGCTTTAGGGTTAGGGTCACATGGTAATAATGTGTAGGAGGAATAAGAGGAAAGAATGGCTGGGCTTGAAAGGCCATTTCAGAGGCTACTGTAACCATCTGGGCATGAATTGAGGAGAGATAATGGGAATGGAAAGGAAGGGATGAATTTGAGAGATAGCACAAAGAAAGGCAAGGAATGAAGAGGCACGTCATAAAATTCAACAGTATATTGGGTGTCTACTTCATGAGAGTGGAAAACTAATAGCTACTGGAATTTGATTAAGTTCATGCTTGAAAGAAGTCAAAAGGAGAAGACAAGTTTAGAGTCAGAAACATGGGATGTGAGATGATGGTGCACCACTAAACAAGAAATTAGAAGAATGGAAAATAAGAAAAGTTCATGTATTCAAAGCATTGTTTGGGGGCTGTGGCAGAATCTGCTGGCTGTTTTCTGCTTCATTCTTAGTAACAGGATCTCTAATTTTTAGCAAGGTGTATGGTCACCCAGAATAAAGACTACATCGCTCAGCCTTCTGCAATCTCAGTTTGGTCATGTGATGAAGTTCAGGTCCATGGGACGAAAGTGCAAGTATTGTATTGACTTTTATGTCGTTAAGAAGAGGGCACTCGGGGGTTCAGGATAGGGAACACATGTACACCCGTGGTGGATTCATGTCAATGTATGGCAAAACCAATACAATATTGTAAAGTAATTAGCCTCCAATTAAAATAAGTTAAAAAAGAAAAGAAAAGAAAAGAAGAGGGCGCTTGCTTTCTTCATCTCTTCCTCGCTTCTTATAGGCTGGAATGCCATGACAGTGGATCTTGGACATTTTGGATCAAGAAGAGGAAGCCAAGTACTGAGAGTCATGAGCAGGAAGACTCAAAAAGTGTGGATCCCTGATGACCTTGTGAACTATTCTACCAACTGAACTGCCAACTCCAGCCATTTTACACTAACAAGAAATAAATTTCTTTCTTCTTTAAGGAATTCTTATTTTTGAGTCTCTGTCACTTGCCATCAAACTGAAATCCAA